GGAATCAGATGATGGAAAGAGAAACCAGCTGGGAATGTAGATGCACACCTATAATCCCAGAACTGGAAGCAGGCAGTTCTTTGTGACTTTGAAGCCAGTATGGTCTACATAGTAAGTTCCAGGCCAGCCAGAGCTACATACTAAAACCGTCTACAGAGATAAAACTGACAAGTTGTTCCTCTGACTTCTACCCTCACACCATAGAACACATAGAAGCTCCTCTGATGTGCATGTGCCTCTGAGTTCGAGGCCGGGCTGGACCGACAGCCTCCAAAACAATACAGAGAAACCCTGTCTCATAAAAACCAAAAAAAAAAAAAAAAAAAAAAAAAAAGTTGGTTACTACTGATTGGGCATGTTAATTAGGGCAGCCAAAAGGGGGCTTTTTGATTGCTAGACTTCAATATTTTGATAGCTGGATCTTGGTAGTCAGTTTCAAGAGGAGGAAGCAGCTAAATACAGGAATAGACTGTGGTGACTAGCTTCAGGAATGTAATCTGTAATCTAACGGTTTAGAAGGTAGAGGGAATGGCAGAGAAGGATAAAGCAAAAACTGTTGGCACCATGTTTGCCATGCCTGGGTCTACTACAGCCCTTTAAGATGTTGCTCCCGAATACTCCTCCACTGTTGAACCTCTTGCTTCCTCTCTCGTTCAAGCTTGAACCACAAACAAGTAGTAGAGTGGGAATTTAAGTGGGAATGGCATGTGACTTTTGAAACCTCAAAGCCACACCTCCTAAGCCTTCCCAAACAATGCCAGCAACTGGGGATCAAGCATTCAAAAGCTGGAGACCATGACGGACTGCTCATTCAAACCACCACATGGTAGAAGAGAAAGCAAACTACGTCAACTACACTGGGCTGCTTCCCACTGAACTCCATCTGTATGACAATTACTATATTGGTTACAAACTCACAACTGGCCATCCTGAAAGTAAATCTACAACCATGCACAACATACACAGACTATATTCATGTCTAAATCCCAAAGCACTCTACAGTCTAGGGTTTGCTTGTTCACAGCACTCCTTGGACAACACCCCCACATTAAGTGTGAAAACTGATACACAAATAAAACTACAGCCATGCACTTGTGCTAGACTTTTTCTCACTGTGACCAAAATGATCAAGTAACTCAAGGGGAAATTTTTTTATTTGGCTCAGCTCCAGAGGTTCAGTCTAAGGTTGCCTAGCTCCACAGGCTTGGGCAAAACACGACAGCAGTATGTGTGATGGACTCCGCTGTTCACTTCATGGCAGACAGGAAGCAAAGGTGAAATACAGAAAGACATAGCTCTGAAGGGCACAGCTCCTGTGTGTCTTCTTAGAGTCAGACATTTCTCACCTTTCACCACTATTCAGTAATGCTACCATATAAATCTACCAAGGTAGGTGGATCTTTGAGTTCGAGGCCAGCCCGGTTTAGAGTGAATTCCAGGGCAGGCTCCAAAGCTACAGAGAAACCCTGTCTCGAAAACAAACAAACAAAACAACAAAAAGATGGAATATAATCAACATTCAGTTTTACCATATGCTGTCAATGGACGGAATGTGATTCAAGTTAACTCAGTTATATTACTTTTCATTTGGCTTACCAGTTTAACTTGCATAGGGAATGTCATTAATCAACCCCTAGTCCTCTTGTAAAAATACTCCAGTCCTGAACTAATCAACATACAGATTCACTTAGTGAAATTGTCCCATTTAAAGCATCCTTTTCTAAAGACAGGTATCTCATGCAAGAAATCTTGGTAATAGTTATCTTCTGCTTGTATGCACCTCAGTTCATTAAAAAAAAAAAGCAAACCATAATCAAACAAGCAAAACTTTCAACATACTTGAAGAAATTCCTTTAATTGGGTCTTGTAACATTCAGTTTCCTAGCTGCAATATTGTTTCTGGGGGAAAAAAATTAACTGCATAAAGGCAGTTTGGTCAATAACAAAGCACCTAAATAAAGGCAGTGGTCCCCCCAAGATTTTACTACTGATAGACATTGTAGCTATTTTATTTTGTGTGAATGTCCTCTACAATGTTCCAATAACAAACTTCCTAACAATGCACTTTTCAGAACAGTATCTCCACATAACTGTACTGAAAATTTATTGTTTATTTAATTTTTTGCTAGGAAATGCATACCGTTTTATCAAATCAAAACTGAACCCATTCAGCCCAGATGTTTATGTTAACAGCATGAAAGGGCTTATGGAAAGATATTTTTCTCTTAACCACCAAGAGTAAAGCAACCCTAGGGAGGTTATGACAAGAGGGCCAGCCTGGACTACAAAGACCTTCCCATCACATTCATGCCCCCCTCCCAAGGAAAAGGAAAACACCAAGAGCACACTTCCAATCAGTGTAATTTCCATTATTAAACTTCCCAGCAGAGCTGGGGATCAAACCTAGGGACTCAAACATTCTGAGTGCTCCAGCATTTGAGGTGCATCCCCATCCCTAGTGTGATCCCGTGACTTTATTAAATAGCAGTAAATGTTATCTAAATTCTTATATCTTATTCTTATCACCAACCATTTTTAAGCCAGTATTTTCTGGAGTTTTCTAAAAGCTGTAATCAGAACTTCTCCTTTATTCTATATTTACTTTTAAAATAAATTAAAAACTTATTTTCATTTTTAGATTTCCCTGGGAAAGTTCATGCTAACTCATCTAAACCTTTTGTGATTATCAGACTTTTCAAGGCAACCTAAAGGTGGCACCTCACTGTGGCAAAGGAAGACCTAATATGGGGTTGGGAAAATGGTATGTTCTTCCTAGCCTTAGCATAGCCTCTTAGAGCTATTAGTTTGGACAAGTCAATGAACCCCTCTAAAACTGAAGGCTTGTTAAAGAAATAAAGGAAGGAAGGAAGGAAGGAAGGGAGGGAGGGAGGGAGGAAGGAAGGAAGGAAGGAAGGAAGGAAGGAAGGAAGGAAGGAAGGAAGGATGAAGATATTGGATAAGATGATCTGGAAGGTCTCATTCATGAATATGCATACTGAAACTAGAAATTTGGTCTTTTTCTTAGTCATTCCCCACTTAAAAAATTTAAATGCTTCATTATTTTATGTTTATAAGTGTTTTGCCTTCATGCATGTCTGTGCATATCTGGTGCCTGAGGCCAAAAGAGGGTGCTGGATCCCCTGGAACTGGAATTATGGGTAGCTGTGAACCACCATATAGACGTTGGGTATCAAATCTAGGTCCTCTGTAAGAGCACTCTGTGCTTTTAAGCTCTAAGCCATTTTCCAACTGTTCTTATTTTAATTGTGTAACTGTATTTCTGTGTGTGGGTTGTGTGCATGTGAGGCTATAGGATCCCCTGGAGCTGAAGTTACTGTAAACCACCAAACAGTGCAGAGAATAAACCAAGTCCTCTGCAAGAATAGCAGGATCTCTTAATTGATCTCTCAAGCCCGTCCATGTTATTGAGACAGGGTCTATCACCAAACCTGGATCTTATCAAATGCTTTGCAAGATCTTCTTGTCTCTGCTTCTCAGCAGTGAGATTACAGATTAGTGCCACATCTGGCTTTTTACATGGATGATAGGGATCTGAACTCAGGCCCTCATGTTCATGCAGTACTTTACCCACCAAGCCATCTCCTCTGCTCAAGGAAGAACTTTTAATAGGTTATCTTCCAACAAAAATACTTAACAATTTTACACAATGCTACAATCTTTATTTTGAAACCTAAGCTACTTTGACATGTAGAGCTCAGCATCTATCAAAAACTCCTCTGGGCCTGGAGATATATACTTCACTGGTAAAAACAAAACAAAAAACTAGCCCCACCCTACCCACACATACTTATGGGGATATACATATGAGGATACACTTCAGAGCTGATATTTTTTTCTTTCTGAGACATAGCAGAAAAAAAATGGGGATGTAGTTGGCACATGATTAACCATAGGTGTCATTGAGACTAAGTAATGGACATATGCTAGCTAGAAACAGTTTGTATATTATCTAAAATACTCCAAAATATAGATCTGAAAAGAAAGTCACTCTCACAAAGAGAAAACAATATTCACAGCAGGCAAGAGCGCAGAAGTTTTGTTCACACGGTCTTTGATTTCAGGTTAAGTGACTTAAATGCCCATTCTTACAGGGTTTCGATACAATCTTCAAGGCATGCTGCCATTCTGCAGCGGTTCCTAAAAGCTCTGCTAGGATGAAGTTAAACGACCTCGGAACCAAAGTTCTTCAAATGCTCTCAAGGCTGCCTATCGATAGCAAGCTCGGAGAGCTGAGTATGGATCGGAACCATTTCACACACATTTTTCTATAACTGCTGGGCCACCAAAGTTACACCCAAGTAAGACGGAAAGTGAGTAAATAGTAAAACTTTCAGGCAGGAGCGAGAGCATGGGACCAAGGTGAAAGGCAGGAGTCTGGGGTAGGAAAAGAGGCGGACGCGGTGGCTCGGCCAAGTGAGCTAGAGCCCAGGACTGCCCCTGGGATGACGGGAGGGAGGGGCAGACCCGAAAAAGAAAAATGTGAGCCCAGCCAGGGGGAAAGGGTGCATTCCAGGGGGAAACCACCGGTGGGGGCGTTTCCACGTGATCTAACGCCCGGTTCTCCGCCACGTTCCTCAGCTCAGAGCCTCGCAGGGCCGAGGCGGCCAGCGGGAAGAGAAGCGGGCTGAGGAGAGGAGCGGGGCGGCTGAGGTGCAGAGAGAAGGGCCGGATGAGGAGAGGGGAGGATGAGGAGAGGAAAGAGGAGGGCCGGATGAGGAGACAAGAGGAGAGCACGGCGGGCTAGGAGTGGGGCGAAGAGAAGAGGGCCGGTGAGGAGGAGAGGGAGGGAGGAGCGGGCGGCTGAGGAGAGCAGAGGGAGAAGGGCCGGATGAGGAGACAGGAGGCAGCAGGGCGGGCGAGCGGGAAGACGCTCGGGCCGCCCGGCAGCGGCTGCCCCACCGGCCGGACCCCGGACAGCGACCCCCAACCCCGCGCCCCGCGCCCGGCCGGTCCGTCAGGAACACGTCCCTCCAACTCACCGGCCGTGAGGCTCGGCTCCAGTCCTCGCCGACTGTCGCTCCCGCCCTGCCCTGCCCTGCCCTGCCCGCCGCCGGCCCAGGCCTACGTCAGAGCGTGCGCACGCCCGCCCGCCTTTGTCTACGCCGCTCGACGTGGTCCCCCCTCGCCCCGCCCACCCTGGCGTCAAGCGCACTCGCGCATGTGCAGTCCTCGGGAGGACGGGGCGCGGGAGGGGCGAAGGCAGGGGGTGGGGCGCAGGCGACGCCCGCCTCCCGCCGCTGCCTATAGGCCTGCGATGAGCCTTTCCCCGCCCCCGCGGTAGCCCCGCCCCCGGCACCAATGCTCTGTGGCCCGCCCGCTTTCCCGTCCAGGCATGGTCGTGGGAGAGAGGGGAAGGAGCCCAGAACAGCAAGGTTTGTTTACTGAAGCGTGTGGGACTTCGTGTCCAGTGAGGTTCGGGGCTGGCTAGCCACCAAATGTTAGCGGCCACCCCAGTGCCGCCGGTCCTGTCCGAGTTGCTCTTGATACACTGAGAAAGGCAAGGGCTTGGCTGGTTGGCCAGCTGCACTTCAACTCAGCCTCCGTTCTAACTAATCTCTCTTCAGACCTGAAACTCCTAATTCAGGCTGGTTTCCCCGACCTGGGTCTGAAGAGAAGAAAGGAGTGTGTGTATGAGGTTAGGGGCGCCTCTCCCTTTCTTCCTTCCTTCCTTCCTTCCTTCCTTCCTTCCTTCCTTCCTTCCTTCCTTCCTTCCTTTTCCTGACAACGTCCTGTAGTACAAACTTGCCCCAAACGCTGAGGTGACACATGACGTTGAACTTCTGGACCTACTGATATCACCTCCCAAGTGCTGGGGGAAAAAGGTGCTGGGGATGGAACTCAGGACTTCATGCATGCTAAAATAAGCCCTCGACCAACTGAACTACCTTCCCGGCCTCCAAGTTTCTTGCGTTTATTTAATTCCTACAGAACTAAGCCCTTTCCCTAATTCAGGACTTAAACCTTTCCACCTTTCGATTTCTTCTTGCCAAAGAAATGTTTACACAACTCCAGTATGTTAAGTATGTAACAGATATACAAGGCATATTTATTGATAGGTGCATATAGTTTTAGTTTTACTATTACTACCTGTTAGGAATAGTGGCAGGTGGCCCTGGTCCCACACTGTTGGGTTTTCCTCTTGGCCCGTGACCTTTCTAGTCTTGTCCTAATGGCATACTGTTATACTCAGCCCTCATTTGAAAAGCAGCTTGTCACAGCAAGTGGGAATTAACAAAGACCCACAGTTAGACAGTGGGGTGGGGGGAGGCAGAGAGTTCACAGCAGGTCTAAATGGGTCAGTCTTCTTCATCAAACCTGTCCCCCCAAAGCTCAGGGATCCATGTTGAATAGGAAGCAGAAGATGGTAGGAGCTACAGGCGGTGGGTGACTCCAAAGAAACAGTGTCTTTCAGGACTGACACACATAGGAACTCACAGACTGTGACAGCATGCCCGGGACCAGCTCTGGCTCAAACCAGACAAAAACTCCAGCACGGTAAAGGGGAGTTGGATACAGAACTTCACCCCTAACGAAGAAGCTCTCTGTAAATGAGTCTCACTGGGTATATTAACCACATCTCAGGGCAGGCCCAGTGCCCAGGAGTAGTTAACTAAACAAAATGAGCTCCATGTTTTGTGTTTTAACTTTTTGTTTCGGCATATTTTCTGGTCATTTGCTTGTTTTTTTTTTTGTTTTTTTTTTTTTTGTTTTTGGTTTTTCGAGACAGGGTTTCTCTGTATTGTTTTGGAGGCTGTCCTGAAGTCTTTTGCTTGTTTAATTTTTGCTTTTGTGGATCCTTTTTTTAAAGAGAGAAAGAACAAAGTTGGGTGTGGAGGGTGGTGGAGAGATCTGGGAGGAGTTGAGGGAGGGGAAGGAACACAACAAAAATAGATTGTAAAAATTATTTTAAAAAGCCGGGCGTTGGTAGTGCACGCCTTTAATCCCAGCACTGGGGGGAGGGGGCAGAGGCAGGCGGATCTCTTGTGACTTGTAGACCAGCCTGGTCTACAAGAGTGAGTTCCAGGACAGCCTCCAAAGCCACAGAGAAACCCTGTCTTGAAATAACAAAAACAAAAGTCAGAAATTTTTTGCCTGGGGGGTGCGGGAGGAGGCCAGGGAGAGGGACCTGGGATTGACATGTAAAACAAGCTATTTAAAATTAAAATAAAAAAAAAAGAAATGTTTTGCCTGCTTGTTCTGTGGTTGAGAAGTGGTGGAACTTAGGAAGAGACTGATGGAAGTTAACCATTCCTCATCCCTTTCCTGGCCAGCAGGACTTAGGCAGATTTGTCTTCCTCACTACTTACCATGGTGCTCTGCTACTCTGCAGACCACAGCAATGGAGCCTGTTAAAGACTGAAAACTAGGACTGGAGAGATGGCTCAGTGGTTAAGAGCACTGACTGCTCTTCCAGAGGACCCGGGTTCAATTCTCAGCACCTACATAGTAGCTCAAGGGACTTAAAAAAAAAAAAAAGACTGAAAACCCTGGAGCTGTGAGCCCAAATAATAAACCTTTCTGCATATAAATGGCCCAAAATAAATCTTTCTTACTCATAAGATCATCACAGATCACAATAACAGCTTAAAATACCCCACAAACTGGCTAAGCACATAAACACACCTGAAACACGTGTTTGAATACGTGCAAAAGCTTCAGAGATCCAAAAGCCTTTCGCCCACAGAGAGACCTTGAGTTGGAGTAACATTTCAACCAGTTAGAAATGGAAACAATCCACCAATCAATCAGATTACTTAACTCAGTTGGGAAACAGCCATCTGGATAAGCACTACCTTGTGAATGCTGTCTGAAGAGCTCAACATCATGCCTTTTTCCCCCTTTACAAACACTGGGGGCAGGGAAAGGTAACTGATTTTCTGAGTTGGAGGTACTAGCTTGGCCACACTACTTAATTGGCTGTGGAAATGCCTAAGCGCTTGTATCTGCAAATTTGTACCTATGGGGGGGGAAGATAAGATCGTGCCTAGTTGGGTGCCGTGTCTCAACCTATGATCCCAGCACTGGGGGAGGATGATCAAGAGTTCCTGGCAGCTTGAGCCACATAGGTACCTTGCCTCCTAACCCCCAAAATGTAAAGAAGGAAGGCTGGCTGCATTAACTGACCACTGTGTGACGAAAGAAACGGTAATAAATATATTTATAGTGCACATGGCTGACAAAGAATAACTATGTACATGATATAAAGCACTCATTCTACAGCTATCATTTGTGAACAAGTGTACAGGGCATTCAATGTAGCAGTGGTTATTGTAGCAAAAGTCTGGAAACAATCCCAAGTGACTGGTCAACTCAACTATGGTTATTCAGGTAATAAAATTCCATGTAGCTGAAAAAGAGACCCAAGATCCCATCTTTGTTCCCAACTGGTCAGATCTTGAGGAAGATGTGCTATTAGGAAGAACAATGAGAAAAGAAAATTAAAAAAATAAAAGTTGTTACATTTTGTGTAGATGGAAAAGTATAGTTTTTATAATAAAATTAAGATGAAGTTACATTGTTAGGAGTTACTGATTTTCTTTGCTCCACAGAGTCAGAGAGTCACTTAGTGAAGTCAACTGAGTGGTAAGGCCCAGCATTGATGACCAAATAATGGAGTTAGGTAAGCTTATTTCCCATAAGGCTTCCAAGTTGCTCATGGAGAGCAAAACCTGGGGTCTTAGTTAGGGCTTCTATTGCCGTGAAGAGACACCATGACCACTGCAACTCTCATAAAGGAAACATTTCATTGGAGCTGGCCTACAGTTCAGAGGTCCAGTCCATTGTTGTCATGGCAGTATGGCAGGTAGACATGATGCTGGAGAGGTAGTTCAGAGTTCTACATCTGGATTGGCAGGCAGCAAGAAGAGTGACACTGGCCTGACTTGAGCATCTGTAACACTCCCAGTGACACTTCCTCTAGTTAGGCCACACCCACTCCAATAAGGCCATTCCTAATAGTGCCATTCCCGATGGATCAATGGGGAGTTTCATTTGAACCACCACATCTGGCTCCTGCAATTAGCAATGTGTAGAGAAATCTAGTCCTATTAAATATTGAGTAGAGAAATCCAGTGTCAGTGACAACCCTTCCCACTGACTCCAGCCTTATTTTTTTTTTTTTCAAGACAGGGTTTCTCTGTATTGTTTTTGGAGGCTGTCCTGGAACTTGCTCGGTAGACCAGGCTGGCCTCGAACTCACAGAGATCTGCCTGTCTCTGCCTCCCGAGTGCGACTCCAGCCTTATTAAAAAACAAAGCAGTAGTCCTCAGGCTGTGCGGCTATTTGTCCCTTTTCTCCACTTTTATTTTGATAAAACAGCTGATTCCCACCCTGGTCTGACCAATCTTTTTGTTGTTATTTTGGTTTTCTTGAGACATGGTTTCTCTGTGTAGCTTTGGATCTTGGAACTTGCTCTGTAGACCAGGCTAGCCTCAAACTCACAGAGATCACCTGCCTCTGCCTCCTGAGTGCTGGGATTAAAGGTGCACTCCACCACAACCTGGTGGTTTAGCCAATCTTAATCACAGCCATTAGTTTTAGGGTATATGAGCCCAAACGGGCAGTCACTGGGACCTTAAAGCAGGAATCAAGAGCTGGTACAGAGGTACACACCTACAAGCCTAGCAGGAGGGTAATGAATTCAAAGCCAATCTTGATGACACAGTGCCGCCACCTTGTACAAAAAAAAAAAAAAAAAAAAAAAAAGCAACAAACCAACAACAAAACAAAGAACACCTGGGATTAGGAGCTGACGCAGTAAACTGCAGGAGGTAAGTCAACAGCCTATACCTGTAAGGGAATCAGGACGCAACAGAAGAGTGAACAGGGATGGTGTGCCCGTTCCTTTCCCACCCATGATAAAGTACAGGATGCAGTGACAAGGGAAGCACCGTTTATTTTTGTTCGTAGTTCCAGAGGGTACAGGCTGTCCTGGTAGGGAAAGAAAGGTGGCTGGCTTGGTGTGGGTGGTGACGTAGCGCCCTACAGCGAAGACATCTTGGTAGCTTAGGAAGCAGAGAGCTCTGGAGTGGAACCAGGGTTAGGCTACACAGTGAAAGGCTCCCCA